TTAGAAAAAAATAAAGAAAAAATGAAAGAGAAAAGTAGAAGATAGATAGATAGATAGATAGATATGGAAAGAATCAAAGATAGATAGATATTTAAATTGATAGATAGATTGAAAAGAGTCAAAGATAGATAGATAATTAGATTGATAGATAGATTGAAAAGAGTCAAAGATAGATAGATAGATAGATAGATAGATAGATATGAAAAGAGTCAAAGAAAGAAAGAAAGAAAGAAAGAAAGAAAGAAAAATGAAGAGAAAGTAAGAAAAAAGGATTAAGAAGAAAGCAAATATTATCCCCCTCCGTTTAGAGCATAGTGCCACAGCCTCAAAATGTTCGGTGTTATAGGTTTTTACAGTGTGGAAACGCTAGTGCATACCCAATCGGTTTTGAATTTAGACTTGCTTTTCTCCTGGTCGGGTTGCCAAATATATTTAGAAAGCCAAATCTTTCCTTACTTATCGCTTCGCTGGCGTGGCGTGGAGGGGTGGGAGTGATGGTTTCATACTTATATTGGTACGAAAGTCAAGGCAACGGACGCGACTGGAATTTGAACCAAACTGTCCAAACTCCCTTTCCGGACCGATAACCAGCAACGTGCACATATCCAGATAGGAATAAAGGTAAAGGAAAGAGAAGAGAAGACGAAAAAAAGCATATAACGAATAAGGAAAGAAAGTTCGAAGCCATTTTCGAAAGAAAGAAAGAAAGAATGAATGAAAGAAATGCTAAGCGAAGTTTAAAAGAAAGAACGTAAAATTCGAGAGCGAATAATAAAATAAAGTAGCCGAGACCGAATCAAAAAAGAAAGAAAGAAAGAAAGAAGCCGGGATTCAAATTTAAATAGAGAATAAACGAAGCCCAAATCGAATCGGAAAAAGAAATAAATAAAGGTAAAGAAAGAAGAAGGAAAGGAACAGAAATCGAACCCTAAAAGAAAGAAAAAAGCTGAGAACGAATAAAGAAAGAAAGAAGCCGAGAGGCATTAAATAAAGAATAAAAGTAAGAAGCCAATATCGAATCAAAAAAGAAGGAAAAGAAACCTATTTTGAAAGAAAGAAAGGTAAAGAAAGAAAAAGAAAGAAAAGCAAATTTTAAAAGGAAGAAGCCGAGAGCAAATCAAGAAAGAAAGAAAGAAAGAAACCTATAATGAACCCAAAAAAGAAAGACAGAAACAAAACAAGTATGATCGAACATACACCTTTCATAATGAATGGGCGTGGTCTCTCAAGAAGGATTGTCTTGAACCTCCATAGACTTCAAATGAAACTCATATATGGGGCCCATAGCTAAAGAATCAACAAAAATGGACGTTTCTTTGTACCATTCTAATAATTATCTGACTCCCCCTGATATGCTCAATCTTTATAAGAACGAGATCAAACCAAAAATGGACTATTGCTATCATATCTGGCCTGGAAATTTCCAGTCTTCACTTGCCAGTCTTGATTAAAAGCGTCTCCGCGTCCTTGTGGGTGATGAATCATTTCCACCCTACAACCACTTTCCTACAGACGAAACGCTGCTCTATCGCTGCTTCCATGGAATGTATTCTGACGAGCTATATTCAGTCTTTACCTTTAAAAGTGGGACCCACCATACCCCTTACAATTGGACCAATCGTCCCCATTCCCTGGGCATTCCTGTAGTAAGTTCCATTCGCATAACTTATTCCCGCAAGTTTCTGCTTTGTGGTATATTCACAAGGAAGAATCATTTGACTTGACCTTCAATTGTAAGCTCAATCGTTATCTTTCCTGAATAGCCTCGTGAACTTTGTTCTTTTTCTCCTGCTCATACAACACCAGCCAGTAACATACTAGCTAGACTGGCTCTTGGGCCTTGGATGAATATTAGTATAAAATAGCAAAAGAAAGAGAATAGAAAATTAAAATGGAAATAAAATTAATTCAAAGGAAAAACAATCCATAAACATACAAAACAACAGAAAAAACTAAATCAGCAAACTAAAAAAAATGTTAATAAGCTAAGTGTATATCAACAGATACTACCTAATGTTAAATTTCATAGTTCACTCATTTGGCATGGAAAGTTGATCACGTTGAAAAGAAGATTAATTCACTAAACGCCATTCATTTTTCATTATTTATTTTGAAATTTTGCCCTTTATATTCGTCCGCAAACATATGCTACAGGATTTTAATCAATTTTTTCGCCATTTACTCCATTTTAAAAAGCAATCCCTTTTGAATAAGCACCGCCCTTCCCTTAGTCGCTGTAATAAAAGCCCTTTGGTGTCCTTAAGCTCCTGTAACCAAATTTCCATGTTGGTTAATGATTTTTTTTCCTTCCACTGCGACCACAACCCACAATTTCAAAATCTTCGCCGAGTAATCTCATTATCTTCTCGCAAACTCTCGTGTGAATTGAACTTGCGTGTTTCAGGCTCGCTAGAATCCTTTCGGTAGCCATAAAAAAGCAATCAGCAGTGAAATGGGCGGGAATTAGATCGAAGTCTATTTAGCAGAAAAATAGGATATTTTCTTCTTTACAAGATTCGATTTAGGTTTTTCGTTATCTTCTCCCCTTCTAGTTATGAGTCCATCGTTGTCTTCTCTTTTTACTTTCTTTCGTTTATTTATTTTTCTTCCACTCTCTCCTATTTGGTCATCTCTCTTTATCTCTCTCTCTCTCTCTCTCTTTCACTCACACTCACTCGCTTAGTTTACCTTTTCAATAAATAATCCTCTCTTTAACTTCTTTGCTATCTCCCTCTCTTCTAATTGCTATATATATATATATATATATATATATATATATATATATATATATATATATATATATATATATATAGTGATTTTACAAGCGTAGCTTAGATGTGTCACAAGGCCGACAGTAGGGGGCGCCCAGTAAGAATCGAACTCACTACTCAGTCGTAATTGCTCTAGTGAGACAAGCTTACTAACCATTACATCTACTCGAGGTGCACAATTCGATATATATATATATATATATATATATATATATATATATATATATATATATATATATATATATATATATATATATATGTGTGTGTGTGTGTGTGTGTGTGTGTGTGTGTGTGTGTGTGCCATACCGAAATCTTTCTGTTTCAGCCCAGCTTGAAGGATTGACTTGATTTCCATCTTTCTTTGTTTAATCCTACAAAATTCTGCGTCACTTTACATTATCCGAATTCACGGTATAGTAAGCATGATTGGATATGAACGTAGATTCAGAAGGAATTGTGCAAACGTTTGTAATTTGACGATACAGACTAACAAGACACTATTCAAGAAAATAACAATGTAAAAATTTATGGGAATTTGAAATAAAACGGTACCGTCAAATACCATAAAGGCATTTCCCTTCATCGAGAAAATATATCTGATAGTGGCTGTCGCTGTTCTGTGTACCGTGTCCCTTCAGGTCGTGGGTTATCATGATCCTCCACAACTTCCAGACATTTGTAGCTCTCAGCAATGTTTGTCTAATTTACAATCTCTCCTAATCCCTGTTTTGTCAATCATTTACACAAGATGGTACTGTGTGTGTCAAATTTGCTAAGTCCACTTTTCTCGTAATATGCCGTAGAAATTTCAGATGTCTCTTTCTGATTCCATGTATAAACGTCCATTTTATTTCCATTTTCCTTAATACTTCTTTGTTACTCACATTCATTCCATGAGGTTCTCAAAATAATTGTGCCTTCTTCACCTGTGAGGAAATTGTCCAGCAGTCACCGCTATGGTTTACAAAAGATATTAGAATGAGTGATGGTAAAGGAGCAAATGTAACAATAGTTGGAAGTTAGGGAGAACCATGATTATGTACGTGACATATAAAACAGGAAGTAAACTATTTACTTCGCTGTAATTTTAACTTTGATTTTTTAACGATCCAAACATAAATGCGTTAAATTCTTGCAACTTGCAATCGACCCTTCCCTCAGCTGAAAAAAATGATTTCAAATATTCCTTGCCAAGGAAGACAGCCAATGGTCGTACATTTCCGCTATTACAAAACAAATGGTAAGGAGTTTTCATTTCGCTCACATCGCTATTGAATGAAATACACGGTCAAAATTTAAAGTGGGTTTACCGGCACTAAAGTGGACCAAGCAGACCAAGCATAGAAATGAATACAGTATGGGAACCTGTAGTACGGAGTCCAGAGAAAAGCGATAATAACAAAAAAAGTTGCAATATGAGCTCTGGTAAAAACATGTAATGATAACATCAAAAAAATACAATATGAGCACTGGTAAAAATGTTTGCTGAAGACATTAGGTTTATAATACCCAGAAATTCATACACAGATGTCCTCAAACACTGTAGATAAAGATGGTGGTTAGATCCAGTGACAGTACCCAAAAAAGTGTGAGTTCAATACCCGTTTAAGGCAGTGGAGAACTTTCAGAGGGAAATTAACAGGAGATAACTGATAAGTGACATCCATTAAACACGGCACGTTGAACTAGAAGTGTCTACGTCAGTGAGCGAAATAAAGGGTTCAGTTCGACATTCCAACCACCTGAAGAATGCCGGGGGGTACAACGGCCGAAACGACAAAGATGAGGACAATAGTCCAAATAATGTAAATTATGTACTGCAGTAGAAAGCTTACTGAAGATCCCTCGGCATTTCTCCATTTAATTACGCAACAGGCATTGGATATTGATCCCAGACTCCTTTCCTGGGACTTGAACTAATATCTTTCTATCGGCAGAATCGAACTTCTGCGAAGGTAAATATGAATACAAATCAAATGGTAGTAAACAGACAATCCAAGCGCGTTCCCTTTAACGCTTACCGTAGTATTTATTCTATTTTCATTGAAGCGTTCAGTACAGCCTCTTCATTATTTGTATCCATGCCGCCAAAAGTGACGGCAGGGACGAATGCATTACAATATTGTAAGTAATTTTCGTTTAATCCAAGTACAATTTTTTTTTTCTGTGTAACAATTGTAACGATGACCCATCGCCTAAATTCAACTTATACTTGTTTTGGGAAAAACAAATGAACTGTAGTTAAAGAAAATCATGAGAGAAAGACATGAGTTACTGGCAAAAAGATGTGTTGAATATTTGTTTTGCAAATTTAACTGCACTTTATTACATTTATAGAGGTTTCGTTTGGTTTGTTTTGTTTTACGGTATATCAACCTCAATGGGTCATTTAATGCCGACAACTTTTTTTTCTGGTAATATTTTTGTTTTGTCAAAAATCTATTTCTGTTAATATTTTTTTCTCAAAAATGTATAGCTCGTAATATTACTTTTTCAAAAACGTATAGCTGGTAATATCATTTTCTTTTCAAAAATGTACAGCTGGCAACATTATTTCTTCAAAACATCCTGATCAGAGGCCTTGCTCTTGGACGTAGTTTATCGTCTTACCCAGGACGCGGATGCAATTTATCGTCTTACCCGGGACGCGGATGCAGTTTATCGTCTTACCCAGGACGCGGATGCAATTTATCGTCTTACCCAGGACGCGGATGCAGTTTATCGTCTTACCCAGGACGCGGATGCTGTTTATCGTCATACCCAGGACGGACCTTCAAAGAGCCGTTTAAGAAGAAATAAATAAATATAATTTATGCACGTATGAGAGAAATAGTGAAATGTTGTTATACCCAGGACTTTTTCTTTTCGAAAACAAACATAGATTAAATTTAAGCGGGTGGGTCATAATTTATGTCAAAGATAGAGACCGTGTGTGTGTGTTTTTTTTTAGTAAATGGGGCATATATAATATAGTTAGAATTTTGTGTCTTTTACGGGACAAACATAGTTTTAGCGCGGTAGATTTTTTGCGCGTGGACGTGAATGGATGTTTTGACCTTAGTGTGATATCAAAACCATACTCTCCTCAATTGTGTTTTTTATATATATATATATATATATATATATATATACATATATATATATATATATATATATATATATATATATATATATATATATATATATATATTTGAATGATTTGTATTTATTGATCTGGCATCGTGGTTAATCATATTTGAGTAGAGTGACTAATTGTTAAATCATTATTCAACTTTGCATGATCATCGACGTACTTCGTGGCGGAGACTGTCTAAAGCATGTTGCATCGAACAGCAATTTCTTCTAGAAAATTTCCAATCCTGCCAAAAAGTGTGTCTTTAATAAGATTTCTCGAATATATATCTATCTATTTATAGATATATATTTCTATCTATCTATCTATCTATCTCTATATATATATATATATATATATATATATATATATATATACACTGAAGCCAGTAAAAAGCGGCATCAGTCTATTTCATGCGTGAACGCAATCAGCAGGCCATGTGTGTTGTGCTTTGGCTCGACTGTTTATATATGCTGGTCAATGGTACATTATGGTTAGCAAGGCCAGTTTTTGCTTTCACTGTTCATTATTATATTTATATTTACATGCGGTCTATCCCTAACACTTAGCACATTACCAATAGTTATAGCATAACTATATATATATATATATATATATATATATATATATATATATATATATATATATTTGTGTGTGTGTGTCTTAATTGAAACGCTGCTATATTGAATACTCGCATTCGAAATAGACGTCTTGGATCTACTGGTGTTCACTCCCAAAAAGGGGGACGCTGGTACAATCGCAAACGAGAGTTTATTTTGCTTATTAAGGTTTCTCAATGTGCGCAGGCCGCTAGATAGACAATGTTTTAAAAAATAACAAATGGGCATCCATTTCAATATATATATATATATATATATATATATATATATATATATATATTATAAAATGGACTAAGTTCGACAATTATTTAATCTTTTTTTCAGTTTATAAGTTATTTTTATAGAAACAAATGTTTAAGTAAATGTTCTGTTTAAAATTAACAATAAATATCATATTTAACGGACTGAATGTCTGAGAAACTTCGTAGAAAACATGTGTGCCCAACAGAAACTGTGTCATACACAGAACCGACATTTGATCTGAGGTGCTATACACTTAGCTACAAAGGAAGCGTCTGTTTAGTAAATCCCAAATTAAACATATTTTCTAGGAAATTTCTCGGACATACAGGCCGGCAAATGTAAGTAATACTGCTTATTATAGACAGTGCATTTATTTTTTAAAAATTATCTCTAAAAATAACGTATAAACAGAATATATATATATATATATATATATATATATATATATATATATATATATGTTTACATATATCATGTTTGAATTTACGACCTGCGTCTGCTCTTCCGCAACCATTATCTTTGCATAGCTACCTTCTATGTCAGCATAACAGAATATCATATTTGATGGTGAATATCTTTGTTATAACCACGCAGAAGATGGCTCATCTGAGCCGAAATCTTAGATTAAGAAACAGCTTCATAAAATAATATCAAATTGCTGGACAAATTTTGCAGTTTTTTTTCACCCGAAATTAAAGCAAATGTACGGAGATTAGAGAGGAGGCCCGGTGGAATAATGGATAGCGGCTCATATCGAAGAGCCGAGTTCGAATTCCAGTCAAATCGATTACGTTCTCTTACGTGCTAATACCCTTGAGAAAGGCATGATACTCTTCTTCTCCCTCCAGTAAATAGCAGGACAGTTCGGGTTCTGTAGCCTTGGATGGCAAGTGGTCTAGCGCAGAATAAAATGGCAACATACTGTGGAAAAAAAAAATTTGCCTCGTCAGTCATGTATCAAAAGATACATAATCGTCTAAGCGTGTATCACACATGGCACATAACTGGCTGATACGGAGATGTAATCTAACATAATAAACATTCATTGTCTGTCGTATTTAACAATATGTGTTTAAAATATATATATATATATATATATGTGTGTGTGTGTGTGTGTGTGTGTGTGTGTGTGTGTGTGTGTATATATATATATATATATATTATTTTATATGTTTATATTAAATTCGTAGCCTGCAGATGATATTATTTTTGTCGAATTTTCTTGATTGCACAGAGGCTCTTTCATAAATGCCTTTCGGTTTTAGTTGCCCCCCCCCATCTTCCACCTTTTTTCTTTCTTTTCTCTCTCTCTCTCATCTTCTGAATTTTAAGTTTAAATTATATCGTCTTTTATTGTGCGTAGTGTCACCACAAATGTATACACCCATTTCCGGTGTCGGTTTTTAATTTAATTTAGGTCAGCGATTCAGTAATGAAATATGCATCGGAAAATAATTTATATTTATCTGTATCTCACTCATTTAAACTGTCATTAAATTCCTCTCTTTAAAACTTCTCTCTGTTAATTTTGAATCCCCATGTTCACTTTTAGGCCTTCCTGTTCTCTCGTCTGTTACCTCTCTCTAGAGCTTTCTTTTACCTCTCACATTCGTCCCCCACTCTCATACTTACAATCTTTTAAATTTTATTTTTTATTCCTGGAGTTATTTTTTCTGATTTCTTTTTGAATTTGTAGGTCTGATGAATTGGATCGTAATTACGATTCCAATGTAATAAATTATAACTATGGAAAGCTTCCAATGTAATAAATTATAACTATTAAGCTTATTATATATATATATATATATATATATATATATATATATATATATATATCAGTAAGTGTATATGGGTGGGTAAACATATTTGCACGCTGCATTAACTTATTCATCATTACTACACTGTTATTTCTTAGAATAACAGCACTCGTGGCCTGACGATTGCATCTAGCATGAAACAAACTGTCTATCTCTGATATTGAGCACTTTATCCCATACATATAGCACATCTTAAGACTATATATATATATATATATATATATATATATATATATATATATATATATATACAGAATTTATAGATTTCTAACTCTTAATAGAGTTGTAAGTGATTTTTATTGTCTTTCTACTTGCATATCAAATCCGTTCTCTCTCAGTACATAATCCAGTTCATAAGGTCTGCCCCTAAATATTCTGCCTCCATTATACTCTCTGTCTAACTTCCAATCTATCCCCGGGCTCAAACTTTAAATGCAATGTCCACTTTATTAGTGTATATCCGCGTACTATCACCCAATAACATATAACATTTCTTCCCGACATTTCTGCTTTTTTTCTTTCTTTTTTTTTCACAACGCAGCAATCGTGTGCATTCCCCGACCCCCAACCGCTTTCGTCTCTGGTGGTTTACATCTAATAAAGTTAATAGATTTCTCGGCGTCAATATATATGCTAAATACATTACCGCCGTTTTTCTTTTTTTCTGCTTGAAAGCCCGATCACACTTCCGTGGCCCACCAATAATCCACTCATGGCTGGCTGTCTTGCTATAATGTACTGTTTGGACGTTTCACTATTATCTGGCCGAGCTGGAAAATATGGTAACGTTAATAATTGAAACATAAATAAATTCATGAGTCAATCAAAATATCTTGGAATTCGGGCGATAAAGAATAAAAGGACAACATAATTTTTTTATAAAAAAAAATACAATACACACACACATATATATATATATATATATATATATATAGATAGATAGATAGATAGATAGATAACTAGCTAGATAGATAGATAGATAGATAGGTAGGTAGATAGAGATAGACAGAAAGATAGATAGAGATAGACATATAGAGATATAGATAGATAGATAGATAGATAGATAGATAGATAGATATGTATGTATGTATGGATTTTGCGCCTGAAAACACGTCACCCAGACGAGCTTAAACACAAATTTAACAACATAGATTTAATATATAATCCCCATAAATCAAGCCCTACCCGCATTTCTCACCCACACAAGACAGTCATGCTTGCAGAGGTGTTATGGTCTCGCACTCATGCGCACACTCATACGAATATATACACATACACACATCAGACACACTCCCAAAGAACTAAAAGCACACACACACGCACACAGCCCTTTCCCAATAACCAATAAAATTGTCAAGTGACCAAGAAGGGAATTCTTAGTCAGGAATGTCCCACCCTCTATATTAAAAACAACTTAAAAGAGACTTTTGATCAACACTTTCACCAAAATTAACGATAAAAAAACAAAAAAACAAATGAAAACTACAGATAAAGTTCATTTTCTTCAGAAACAATCATTTACTTCTGTAGTTCACTGCTACTAACAAGCATGAATTTAAAAACATATTCTTCTTCCTCATATTTAACGAAACCTGCACTATATATATATATATATATATATATATATATATATATATATATATATATACGTGTTTGTGTACGTTACATATGACCTCATTTTGAAATGCCTCTCATCTGAAACCGCCAGGATTTCGAAACAAAATTTGTACTATATTGACAACACCCTATTCTGATATAGTCAAAAGTCCTCCAACAAATGAAGAAAAAATATTTGGACATTTCATTCTTAATTTCCATCTCGTTATTCAATGTAATCTTCATATTTGGGAAAAATGTCATAAACATTTAAATAGCCAAATCTTGTAGGTTGAATTTAGATGAACTCTTGTGACGTCGCCCCCCCTGGTCGCAGCGTCGACTGTGTCGTTCGATCTCGTTCGCGGCACCAGTTGTGACGTCACGTGCTCTCCAGGCTCTGATATCCTGGTCACGGACAGCACCAGTTGTGACATCTTTGCCGCGGCGTCAGCTGTTCGCTCCTCGCTGCTCCAAGTGTGACGTTCTAACCCTTTGGTTAGATGAATACCAGCCTCGTCGTTCCCAACTCGCTTCCAACGCCTAGGGTTGCTAGATCTCCTGTCTGCCTACCCACGTTGTGATTAGATCTTAGACAGACGGGATCAAACAGGGATTGGAGCCGTATGCCAGCTGGGTTCAACGGGGTGATAACACACAAGTAAAAAGAAAACTCACGAGGCCAAAAATTATTGAAAAAAAGGGTAACAACCTTTTATATCTAAATGTTCGTTACACAAAATTGTTCCTACCTCCCGACCCGTTTTGTGGACTGTGGCACCAAGATCTTCTACCATACAACTTTAAGACTTCGAGTTGCTTGTTCTCTAGAAATTTGCATTTCGGGGTGTGGTTTGGTTTCGACACTGGGCGCTGATCTCGTCGTTCACGGCTGATTTCCCTCGCCGTCAGTGCGCGAATCAACTTCTTCTCTTCTGCTTCGGTCGGACGAGTTTATTCACTTCGACTTGAGTTAGGCGAATTTCTTTACTTCGACTTGGGTTGGACGAATTTCTATTCTTAGGCTTGGTTTGGATGAATTTATTCACTTCGACTTGTCTTGGACGAATTTCTCTTCATAGGCTTGGTGTGATTCCAACTTCTCCTAGGCGCAAGTTAACTTCTTCGTCCGAGGCGCAAACTTCTTCGTCCAACTGCAACTTCTCTGCCTGTCCGTCCGGCCTGCAACTCTTCTGCCTGTCCGGCCTGCAACTGTCTCGCCGTCCGCCCTGCAACTGTCTCGCCGTCCACCCTGCAACTGTCTCGCCGTCCGCCCTGCAATTCTTCTGCCTGTCCGGCCTGCAACTGTCTCGCCGTCCGCCCTGCAACTGATTTCTGTCGATTGGGGTCCTGCTTTTATTGACGCCGTAACAAACTGGGGTGGGTCTGTCGGCGCCAGGGTTTTCTTGATAATTCCAAAAGTAGCATTATTTCTGATTTCCCATTATCGCTATTACTTTCACTCCTACTTCCTTACAGTGTCTCTGGGGGGGGGGGCGCATACCCGCTTCCCCTGGTCCCTCGTATGTCAGGTGACCGCTCTCGACCAATGGGGTCCTGGTCGGGCATCTTTCCTCCTCCTTCGCACATCACGTGACCGCTCTCGGCCAATGAGACTCTGGTCGGGTGTCTCTCCTCCTCCCTCATGTATCATGTGACTGCCCTCGGCTAATGAGACTCTGGTCGGTATCTTCCCTCCTTCCTTCGTGACGTCTCCAATCGGGCGTGTACAATCCGGGGCTTTGTTCTGGGAAGAAACACCTTGCTTGAAAAAAAAAAAACAAAATTTAAATTGTCCTTGTTTTTCCTACACGCGGTATTTGTCAAAACAGCCTGCCGCTAATTAGATGCGACTTAAGGAAAGAATTTTTCCGACCTGTCGGCGTCTTCCGCGAGCTAAAACAAATATTTCACCTCTTTCTTTCGCTCGGGGCCTGTTAACAAAATCTTAATTATCTAAATTGAAAATATTTTCCACTCATCATCTTGGTGGTTTTATCTTCAACCCTAGAAATGGTCAGGGTTCGTGTATTAATGTTTTGTTTTCGTATACATTTCCCCAGCGGTTACTTATCATCTCAATGACACCCCTTTTCGTTCGTTACCTATTAATATTTTTTCATTGTCCCTAAAATTTCTTCAACCAAATTGATAACAAACTCCCATACTCCGCGGACACGAAAGTAGGTCAGGTGCTTGACCGACATCTGTTATGCATCAATCGCGCGTGTGCCTATTCGCTCACGACCCCGTCTCGTATCATGTTCCTGTCTTTCCCTTTCTTTCTTTTTATTATTTCTAAACTCTATTTCTTCAACCAATTATAACAATTTCTATTTTTCGTGGATTTCGGTCAGGTACTTTGACCTAGATATCTTTTGACACCTGTTTTGTGTTAGTTTTAAGCGTGTTTTGCTTATGACCGGGTTTTGTACTATCTATTTTCTTTCTCTTTTTTTTTTCTTTCCCTTTCTTTCTTTCGGATCGCCTAAATGTTATTAGAGAATTATTCTCAAAACTCAATTATTCTTCATCTCTAAATAACTATCAACTGATTAACAAACCGAATAAAAATAAATCATATTTTTATGAATATCTCTTTTCAGTTTTCTAATAATGCAGGGTGCCACACTCTTCTTCTATATATATATATATATATATATATATATATATATATATATATATATATATATATACATCCTCTTCCTCCTTTAGATCTGTACATTCTGCTGAGGAGTAAGGGTGACGGCTACAGCTCATAAAAACACTACGCCTTGCTCCTGAGGTTTCCATGGCTAATATTTTTTACGGATTGAAGTCCGATTGGTTTTGTACCAAGGTTTCGTTTACAGTACTAAGTATTTTCAAATAGTCCCCAAAACAGAGAAGAGAGAGAGAGAGAGAAAGAGAAAGAGAGAGGAGTGGTTGTCTTCGTTAAAGTGCAAGGAATTTTTTTTATGTTTACTTTTCTATTTCCGGCAAATTCTAAATTTCCGGTAAATGTTTGGTTTGGTTTGTTTTACGGCATAGCAACCTTAATGGGTTATTAATGCCGACTAGATATTTATTGCTGGTAATATTTTTGGTTTGGTTTGTTTTACAGCATATCAACGTCAATGGGTTATTTAATGCCGACGAGATTTTTATTGCTGGTAATATCTTTGGTTTGGTTTACGGCATATCAACCTCAATGGGTTATTTAATGCCGACTGGATTTTTATTGCTGCTAATATTTTTGGTTTGGTTTGTTTTACGGAATAGCAACCTTAATGAGTTATTTAATGTCGACTAGATTTTTATTGCTGGTAATATTTTTGGTTTTGGTTTGTTTTACAGCATATCAACGTCAATGGGTTATTTAATGCCGACTAGATTTTTATTGCTGGTAATATTTTTGGTTTCGTTCGTTTTACGCCATATCAACTTTAATTGGTTATTTAAAGCCAAAAAGATTTTTATTGCTGGTAATATTCTTTTTCACAAATGTATTACTGCTAATATTTTTTCTTCAAAATGTCATTGTTGGTAATATTTTTTTCAAAAAAGTATTCCTGGTAAATAGCTGGCAATATTTTTTCTCCTCAAAATTGCATTGCTGGTTATAATTTTACTTCAAAAATATATGCTGGTAATATTTATTTTCTTCAAAAGTGTATTGCTGGTAATAAGTTTTCCTTGACAAAAATTTATTGCTGGTGTTAAAACCTATCTTTACACCTGCATAGTGTATTGACACTAGTTTTGTCGTTACCTATTTGCCCATAGTTGGAAGACTAACAGGGGCTACCACCCCGGGTCACGCTCCACAAAACCTCCTGATCAGAGGCCTTGCCATTGGACGTAGTTTATTGTCTTACCCAGAACGCGGATGTAGTTTATCGTCTCACCCAGGACGGTGTTTAAATGTAAATTGTCCAATGTGTAAGTACTTTCTGCTTTCATGAGATTAGATAATTTTTGCTCTGTCCTCTCATCGATTTTTCAATAGTCAGAATCAGTGAAACCTTGAATGGGCTTAATCATGAGAGCTGTTGCTTTAGATATGTCAAAATACTTTTGACAATATCTGGCACAGTGGGTTGCTACACAATATCTCCAACTATGGCAACTCTGGTAGAGTCTACTCAATCGTCAAATACTTATTCTCAGATAGGACTATGAAATCGATGTGAATATCCTGTCTTCTGAGGCCCATGGGTTTAACGCTGGCATCCCAAACACTTGTGGACTGGATGGAGAGATTAAATGCCCAACAGAAGATTCAACCATCAATAAACGATCAAGAAACGCGCTGGATAATGTTGGATCCCGTCCAAGTAATATGAAAGATAAGAGTAAAACTAAAAAGAAATTAAAACCACGTGTAATGTATAAACTGCAATACAGCAAACGCGACAGAAACTCCATTTCCTAACAAATAAGCGCAGCTAAACGTAAGATCATACATGGAACTTTGAACAAGGTTAGGTAATGAAAGTGTAACACCGTTAGGGAACACTGGCAATGACTACCTAAAATTTATCCCGGGAAAAAGAAAGAAAAATTATGACGGTTGACACGTGAAATTATTCTCTAAAAATTAAAGAGGAATAGTACATAACGCCAAAAAATAATTCAAGATATATGAGATAAAGTAAAATGAATTAGAAATAAGTAAAAGTAAGCAAAATATAAGAGCAAGGAATATGTTGTCTATATTTCTGAGATGAGGTGTTATGTACATTATTTACATTATTCGAACTGCTCTCCTCATCTTTGTCGCCATATTTATTACAACGTTTCAAGCCGTTGTACGCTCCGGCCTTCTTAAGGTGGCTGGGATGTCGAACTTAACTGACATCCATTAAACATGGCACGTGGAACTAGAACAGTCTACCCCAGTGAGCGAAATAAAGGGTTAAGTTCGACATTCCAACCCCCAGAAGAAGGCCGGAGCGTACAACGGCCGAAACGTTGTAATAAATATGGTGACATAATGTAAATAGGGAATGGCTTGTTTATTCTAAAGGCTCCAAAAAAACCATCACTCTATCAGTCACCGAAAGACATCTTCCCGCTCCACATCAGTATGGCTGATGCTAACCTCCACGAGAGAGACGCGTTGCGCTTTCTCGGGATAACATTCTCAACTGACATAAATTGGAAAAATTATATTGAATCCATTGCTAGGTTTGCAGCTATGAAATTTGGTTCATTTTGCTAAAAAAGTTTCTCTCTTGAATCTATGTTGCATATCTATAAGTCTACCATTCGTCCATGCTTTGAATATTGCGTCCACTTATAGTCTGGTAACCTTACTGTATATCTGGAGATTGTTGAGACAAACCAAGAAGAATCAGCAATATTACTGACCTTCACCTGGCGTCTCGGCTTTAGTCATATTCCAACCGCCGTAATATAGCTTCCCTCTGCGTTTTCTATAAATACTTTTATGGTTACTGTCCAGATGGACTCTATGGTATGGTACTATGGTATCGCTATGGTACTAAGATTTTATAAGTTTAAGCACAGTACCAGATTGGGGGCATAATCTCATTAATTCATAGTTGAATTGGTTAGATATAAGCGTAGGTTCTATAACTGTTTCTTTTCTTGCCTTTGTTACTTGTGGACATCACTTCCGACTCAATGCTTCCAAGCCAATTTTCACCTTCAGAAATTTTAATGTAATGTCAATCGTTATCTAATGTGTTCTTGATTACGTTTCTATTATTCTTGCTCCTTAATAGATTTTCTGTTTTTTTTCTCGTATTCTTTCTTACTCAGAGACCCCCCTTGTGTCTCAGTGGCATTACTGTGTATTCTGAACTTCTGTTCTAGGCTCGATGAATTATTATGTGAAAATATTCAAATCTCTCTCTCTCTCTCTCTCTCTCTCTCTCTCTCTCTCTCTCTCTCTCTCTGTATATATATATATATATTAAGATATATATATATATATATATATATATATATATATATATATATATATATATATATGTTTTTATATATATAAACATATAAATATATATATATATATATATATAAATATATATATATATAAATATATATATATATATATATAAATATATACATATATATATATATATATATATATATATAAATATATATACATATATAAATATATATATACATATACATATAAATATGCATATATATATACAAATATATATATATATATACAAAATATATATATATATAAATATATATATATATATATATATATATATATATATATATATACAAATATATATATATATATATAAATATATATATATATATATATATATATATATATATATATATATATATATATAAAGGAAATATTGAACATCTATATTATAATAACATTCCTTATGGTATTGGATGATATTAATCTCCTTTCATATAAAGAGACTAAAAGCGTCAAATTTTATCGTGGATTGCTATTTAGACCTTGTAAAGCGATTGTGAGCAATAAGCTTGGTTTGGTTTGTTTAATGGCATATCAACCTCAATGGGTAATTTAATGCTGAGAAAATTTTTATTACTGGTAATATTTTTTTTCAAAAATGTATTTCTTGTCATATTTTTTGGACATATATTATGGAAAAATGGGCATGATGATACAGCGTGTTTCTTCGACATAGAAAGATCGTAAAACGCCAAGATTTTCATCGAGAAACAAAACACTCCACACTCCAGGGAAAATTAAAAATAAATATGAAGCCTGAAAAGACGATCTTTGGCATCTTGTGCAAAATCTAGAGCCTTAACTATCATAATAGAAAACAAAAACCATGCTTAGGATGTGAACACAAGTAAACTAATTATATTATAAAATACATAGCAATAGTAGTAATTCTGATTCAAATGAACAGGGTTTATAGTAGAATACATGAGATAATAAAATGTTTGTTTACCACAGTGGAAAATATATTCATTTCTTTTGTCAGGATGCTGTCAGAGCGTGTAGCAAAGCATCTATATGCATTATCCATCGCTTATGAAAAGACATTCAATAAATTAGACTACAAAGAATTCGTTAGAATTTAGGAAAACTTGATCAGCCTGGAAAGGATATTCAGAACAAACAGCTTGTATGCAGATAGAGAACGCGTGGTGTAAATACACAAACATTTAACGGAAAGTAAGACAGGTTTTGGTCAACCTGGACTTATCGATAAGCATAACGTTGACAACAAACTCTACCTATACAATACTGCTGATGGCTGGTTCAGAAAAAATAGACAATGTAGTCGATAAATACAAAAAATAAAGAACTAACTATAAATTGAAAAAACAAAGTGTATAATTGTGAATAATAGGGTAGAAACCAATTTATATAATTTGATATGGGTGACGTTAGAACCAGGCAACTTCATACATTTAACTATAAGGCTAGAATCGTAAAATATGTCAGGACACATAACACCGGAACCGGAAGGTGCAAAAATATGAAAAAAGAGTGGTTTTCAAAACTTTAACAGATTATTAAGGGATCATAAAAATCCGTAGAACTAATGAAATACTAAGGGACTTCTATGTAATGTGTAATTTCCTCTATGTCAGATAATGCTGGACACACACACGAAGAAATGCTCCAGATAAATTGTATTTTATTACTTAAACGTTATTTTTGTGGATATCCATATTTGAGTAGACGTTCTCTTTATTTATTAATTAGTATATTCATTTATTTTCATCTGCCGAGAAATCTTATAAAAGAATAATATGGCCTCTACAGCACGATTCTAAGCTCTTCCCCCCAGACACACCTGTGAGGAGAAAACATCGTTAGATACAATGTGCTTAAGAGAATCCTGACAATGGAGAGCGTCGTAGATCAAGCAAAATTGAATAGTGCTTGATAGACAGATAGATAGATAGATAGATAGATAGATAGATAGATAGATAGATAGATAGATAGGAGAATTCCCTGAACAATTGATAGATAGATAGATAGATAGATAGATAGATAGATAGATAGATAGATATGAACAAACTAAACGAAACTTAGATAGATAGATAGATAGATAGATAGATAGATAGATAGATAGATAGATAGAGTAAAATTACCTGAACAAAAGAAATAGATAGATAGACAGTAAAATTTCCTGAACAATATATATATATATATAGATAGATAGATAGATAGATAGATAGATAGATAGATGACCAAACTAAACGAAACTAAGATAGATAGATAGATTGATAGATAGATAAACAGATATGCCACTAAAACAGATAGATAGATAGATAGATAGATAGATAGATAGATAGATAGATAGATAGAAAATTTCCCTGAACAATGTCAACATATAGATAGATAGATAAATAATTGCGACGCTAAAATAGATAGATGGCTAGTAAAATTCCCTGAACAATAAAAATAGATAGATAGACAGTAAAATTCGCTGACTAATGCCAATAGATAGATAGATAGATAGATAGATAGATAGATACGAGTGTAAAATTGACAGATAGATATTTTGTCAGAAGCAAACAGTAATATAAAAGTTTAATCAAGACTTATTTCCAAATTCGTTTGATGTATTTATTTCCAGTTATAATAGACATATATTTGTTACTTCGAATTTATTTTTATTGGCTTTTTTATATGTTGCTGATGTTTTATACAATGTATCATGAAATGCAGGCTTCGTGTAAATGCATGCGTGAATCATAGTCTAAAAGTTACGTTGATCCAAATGTATCTTACATATTGAAACTTGAGGGAAGTGACTGGATGTTTTTAATTAACTCCAATTGTTAATTCGGAATCCTATTTCCTTTATGGGTCAATGGGATGGGTGAATGTTTCTCCGGTAAAAATAATGTTCTATTTATTTATTTTTTTTTTTTTTTGTACTTCACTGTCTTACTTTTCTTCTAGGGATATTTTTTTTTTATAATGTTTAAAATCTGATCTTTTACGCGAAATGCAGTGTTTGAAAATATCAGTCAATGATCAGGCTTTTAGAAGAACATTTTCGCAGGCCTATGCAATACACCATTCATGATAATACCTGTTGATTTTTCCCGGTACGTTTGGTGCGTGAACTGTCGTTTTCGGATAGAGCGCTTTTTGTTCAAGTCCAGATAAAAGCCAAATTTTCAAATGCTAAATATGGCAACTAGCAAGTCATAGACCTTGGATTTTTAATGGAATTAATCTGACTATCTTTGATCAGGCACATTCAGCAAATAGTATTCGGCATTTTTAGATCAATACTTTCTTTGTTTATTGATATCTGTTTTTCTTTTTTCTTTAAGTTTTCGCTCAGTGTACACTTTCATCAGTATTATCACTTTCATAAGCACAAATTTCTACTAGGTAGCCTGACGAAGTCCATCCCTCTTTTGTCTAATTTTTAATTCAATGATCCTCCTGTTAGATCAGTTGCCAAACAAACCAAGAGACCCCAGCCTACGCTGCTATTTAACCCAAAGCTGCAACGTGATGGATTTGTGTCTTTTCTTATGATATTACCGAAGAAATAAACGCAAAAGACTCTATCGGGATTTGAACGCGTGTCACCTAAAGTCCTCGATATAACGATAAACTACATCCAGTAACAGGAGATTACAAGTTTCGAAGATCGTGGAACCACTTTTTAATTGCTGTTGTTCCCAGGTCTAACCCGAGGTGATAGCACCTGTTAGGGTCCCGGCTATGAGCAAATAATGAACACCCGAACAAAAACAAAACACTATCAAACTATAAAAATACTCTTTTATAGTAAAAATACCAGCAATAAATTTTTATATAAAAAACCAACGATACATATTTATAGTAAAATTATCAACTATACATTTTAATGCAACATTTTATCTATGGTTGTGTCCAAAATATTTAGATTTCAGCATAAATTAACCCATAGAGATGTTGATATGCCACTAAACAAAATGAAGTATATCCGATCACTACCAACGTAACCTCGCCAATCTATGGTCAACCGTTATCTGTAGTTGAAGGCATACAATTGCGTTCCAAATATACTGAAGCCATAAAATAATGTTCAAATATTTAGATTTTGACATTAAATAACCCATAGAGATGTTGATATGCCACTAAACAAAATGAAGCAAATCCGATCACTACCAACGTAACCTCGCCAATCTATGGTCAACCGTTATCTGTAGTTGAAGGCATACAATTGCGTTCCAAATATTCTGAAGCCATAAAATAATGTTCAAATATTTAGATTTTGACATTAAATAACCCATAGAGTTTGATATACAGCTAAACAAAAATAACACAATCACCCTATCATCGAATCCCATTTCCGTGATGGTAAATTTTATGCTAATCGATTATTCATTAATTACAGTAAGTAGCGTAGATTCGGAAAATATAAACTTGCCTCACATGTATGATCGTCTCTCACGGAAAAAAAAAGTTTATAGTCGATAAAAAGCACATCTACAATCGTATTGGAAGCTCTCTTCTCAAACATTTTATGCCATATAATATAATTTTACTTTCAAGTGATGAATTATTTTAAATCTGACACTTAACGTGTTCATACTTTCATAGTTTATTTTATTTTCTTGCTTTTAATTTACAACATTCTACATTGACTACACTCATTAAACTATCGCGGAGTTTGAATAAAAATGTAGCTTGCAAGAATTAATATCTCATTGTTTGAAAGAATGTTCTAAAAATGATTGATGGATTTGATTTTTTACGGCTTATCAACCCTTCGCGAGTTATTTAAAGTTCGTTCGATTTATCAAGCAAATTTTCTATTTAAGAAACCGAACGTTGTCTGGATTACAAGAGTAAGTATCAATGAGTTTGCTAAGAACAATGATTTTGCCGATACAAGTATTAAAATTTAACCCATAGCAAGGAGAAAAGATGGATTTATAACTTTCTTAATGTTGTCAAACCCTTCGTGAGTTAGTTAAAGTCGAAAGATAGTGTGTACGGTAAAAAGTTTGTTCGATTTATTAAGCGAGTTTTCTAAGAAACCGAACAAACATTTTGGCCAACCCAATTTTCTGGATTACAAGAGTAAGTCTCAATCATTTTGAGATGTATAATATTTTTTGATACAATTTTTACTATTTAACCCATAGCAAGGAGAAAAGATTGGTTCATAAGTTTCCGAAGGTTATTTGCCTATAAATTAACGAAACCCGACAAGAATACAAACACGGTACTCCAAGATTGAACCCTTATCCACTGCACTAACCCATCAAGAAAAGTAGAATATTTATAGATTCAGTGTCTATCTCGATTAGATTACTTCAAAGGTGGAAGACTGGCATAAGACAATCGCTTCAAAAGACAAAAACAAATAAAGCGTCGATAAAGATCTCGGGGTTGCGCTCTCAAGTTTTTGTAGTTTAGAAGATAAATCAGTTGAGCGTTAAATAAGTTTTTAGTGAGGCCAAATTTTTCTAGAAGATCGACTACATGAATAAAGGATGTTAGAAAAAGCAACTAAAACTTTAAGCTGAATAAAAGAATAATTCAGCATAAAAAGAATGGTTAAGTAATTGACAAATTTAAGTTGACACTCAATGTATTGGAGATAAAAGATTGGATAATCTATTATGAAATAATTCTCCAATCATATTCGAGCAATTTGAACTATAATTTTAATTGGGTAAAGCAAAGAGTCGATAAAAAATAGGAACTTTCTAAATTCCTATAGGGAAATAGAAATTGTTTGATTGACCGGGTGAATATATCGGATTTACTGAAGCTTAAATTATTTGGCAAAGTTGTAATTAAAAACTGTTACAATTCAGTGAATTTTACTAGCATTATTGTAATATATATATATATATATATATATATATATATATATATATATGATAATGAAATGAATACAATAATATCAAAAACCGCTACTCAAAATTTCACTATATATATATATATATATATATATATATATATATATATTAAAGGAACAGGTTATACTAGTTTCAACGAGAGAAAAGTGTGTATATTAAAAAAAGAGAGAAACCGCCAACGTTTTTGGTTGTAATGTGGATTTTTAAAAAAAATATTATTCTTTATTTTTCCCATAATTTTACTACACGAGTTTCCGGTCTTTTTGTTAGCATGCGTGTATATATGTATATTCCCTCTCCATACATACACACTTTCTTATTACAAGGAATTAGTAAACTCATTTTTACACATACACACATATACACACACACACGTACATATACATATACTTCCCATGTTAAAAGGAATCACTATACACACACACATACACGCATATATACGTACATACACACATACTTCCTAAGTTGTGTGGTGTTTGCGCGCGTGCCCGTGAGTAGTCCCCTGCTTTTTGTATATATATATATATATATATATATATATATATATATATATATATATATTCGGGTTCCACAGACACCCGCATTTGAGCGTGAGTGCATGCATGCGAGTGGTTTGATTACTGTATTTGGCCATTATGTGCGCATGCTGTATGTTTTTGCGTGTAGGGTTTTGATCTATTTAGTTCTAGTTTAAATTTGTTTATGAAGTTTTTTTTCTTGTATTTGTAGTTAAGAATAATTGTCTCTTTGATATATTGGCATAAATTTAAATTTACTCTGGTTACAATTAAAGATGTGGTGTGATACAAAAAGTTTTCTGTTGTCTGATAATTTTATAGGGAATATACATATATACACGCATGCTGACAAAAACACAAGAAAATTGAAATAGATCTAAGAACACACAGGGGTCATTCAAAGATACGAATAACTCCTTCACAATTTCTCGGACCAATCTTAATTGATTTATAACCCTTCACGCAGAACTTTTCACAGCCAGTTCAAGAAAGACATTTGGGTCACTAACACACTAAAAAGAGAATGTCCCATATAGAGAATATTTAACATCGAAAAACATAAGAAAAAATTATTTTTAATAATATGTGGAAATCTCCACGCATTGCCTGGTGAAGGTCGCGTACCGGAAACTCGTGTAGCAAAATTATGGAAAATAAAGCATAATATTTGGAAAATATCCACATTACAACCAAAAACATTTGAGGTTTTCTCTTCTTTTTTATATATATATATATATATATATATATATATATATATATATATATATATATATATATACGTTGCACGTTGCAATGGATGAATTGACGTCTAAATTACCCAAAATGAAAATAACACTGACATCGCATTTTAGCATAATTATTCATCAAAAAATACATAAAATATGAAATCGTAAAATTTATTCAATAAATTTATCATTGGTTCAATCGTGGCTTCCTGCAAGTCTTCTGAACGATCTCCTTGTTTAAGTTGGTGAATGCTACCGTAATACTTGCCTTCATTTTATCTTTGCTGTCAAAAGGAGTTTTAATGGTCTCTCGCTAAAGTGCGCCCCACACATAATAATCATGTTTGCAGTTTGTGGAGATAAGTAGCTGGATATAATGGGTGATATGGTCGCAGAAATTATCTGACAGCTATGACTGGTTTCTCCTGCTTGTGTGGCATCGTTCAGAGTCCTGTTGCCAAACATAGGGTACTGCAG